CCATAGGACATACTATCATATGCTTCATTTGTAACCATAGGACATACTATCATATGCTTCATTTGTAACCATAGGACATACTATCATATGCTTCATTTGTAACCATAGGACATACTATCATATGCTTCATTTGTAACCATAGGACATACTATCATATGCTTCATTTGTAACCATAGGACATACTATCATATGCTTCATTTGTAACCATAGGACATACTATCATATGCTTCATTTGTAACCATAGGACATACTATCATATGCTTCATTTGTAACCATAGGACATACTATCATATGCTTCATTTGTAACCATAGGACATACTATCATATGCTTCATTTGTAACCATAGGACATACTATCATATGCTTCATTTGTAACCATAGGACATACTATCATATGCTTCATTTGTAACCATAGGACATACTATCATATGCTTCATTTGTAACCATAGGACATACTATCATATGCTTCATTTGTAACCATAGGACATACTATCATATGCTTCATTTGTAACCATAGGACATACTATCATATGCTTCATTTGTAACCATAGGACATACTATCATATGCTTCATTTGTAACCATAGGACATACTATCATATGCTTCATTTGTAACCATAGGACATACTATCATATGCTTCATTTGTAACCATAGGACATACTATCATATGCTTCATTTGTAACCATAGGACATACTATCATATGCTTCATTTGTAACCATAGGACATACTATCATATGCTTCATTTGTAACCATAGGACATACTATCATATGCTTCATTTGTAACCATAGGACATACTATCATATGCTTCATTTGTAACCATAGGACATACTATCATATGCTTCATTTGTAACCATAGGACATACTATCATATGCTTCATTTGTAACCATAGGACATACTATCATATGCTTCATTTGTAACCATAGGACATACTATCATATGCTTCATTTGTAACCATAGGACATACTATCATATGCTTCATTTGTAACCATAGGACATACTATCATATGCTTCATTTGTAACCATAGGACATACTATCATATGCTTCATTTGTAACCATAGGACATACTATCATATGCTTCATTTGTAACCATAGGACATACTATCATATGCTTCATTTGTAACCATAGGACATACTATCATATGCTTCATTTGTAACCATAGGACATACTATCATATGCTTCATTTGTAACCATAGGACATACTATCATATGCTTCATTTGTAACCATAGGACATACTATCATATGCTTCATTTGTAACCATAGGACATACTATCATATGCTTCATTTGTAACCATAGGACATACTATCATATGCTTCATTTGTAACCATAGGACATACTATCATATGCTTCATTTGTAACCATAGGACATACTATCATATGCTTCATTTGTAACCATAGGACATACTATCATATGCTTCATTTGGCTAAGACACCTTGGAACTAGACAAGCCCAGGCTCAATTTGTCAGTTGATTACCACAGAGAATCCTTCAGCTCAACTATGGTTGAACCTGAAGAAAAATTAGGCAGCCAATGATGGGTAAGACCAAGGGAATGCCAGTCAACCTAAAACAGGAGGGTCATACAGCCTGGGTGATTTCTCCACTGACAGGTAAGGTTGGCATCAACGTCCTAGTCACCTAAGACAGGCACTAATTTATGTGTAAAGAAGGGGGAGATGTTGGGCCCCAGTCCCCATGGAGTCTGTGCATCCTGTTTTCTAGTCCTGGCTTACTGCCTCGGCCTTGCCCCACTGACATCAACATCTAGTTGTGAAAACACAATCTCTTCCACCTGGGTTTTTTCCACTGTGTTGTCTCTATATAAGGCTGCTTCCTTTCTGCGCTAGGAAGGAGAGACCTCTTAGCATAAACCACTGGATATCTTGTCTTCCAGTTAAATCTCCAGGATTTCTCCTGTTCGGGTGCCACACATAGACACACAGAATTAAATTCTGTTATAGGGGAAAGTGACATTTTCAGGAAAATGGATAAAATTCTAAAGTAGTAAGTGAGATAATCCATGCTCAGAAAAATAAACGCTACATGTTCTCTCTTTTGTGTGTGTATTTTTATATGGGAATAAAAGTGTGTAGACTCCAGAAAAGCAGAAAGGGATGAGAGGGTAGTGGAGTCACGTGGCACCAGAAAGTAGAATGCTGGGCAGGAAGGCTTGGCATGGGGAAGGTGGGAGTAGGGAGATGTGGCGGGGAGGGCGGGGAGGGCGGGGAGGGCGGGGAGGGAATGTTGATTAAACATGACAATGTGTGAAAAGGTCATGAGGAAATCTGATACTTGATAGGTATACAAAAAATACAATATAAAATAAAACCCCAAGGAGTTTGAATGTAGGTAAAGTTGTTCCTAGAAGTCATAGGTTATTATTTTATGTGTATGAATGTTTTGCCTGCATGTATGTCTGTATACCCCTTATGCATCTGGTGCCCACTAAGGCCTGAAGAGGGCACAAGATCCCTTGGGCCTGGAGTTTTAGATGGATATGACCATCCATGTGGCCATAACCTGGAATTCAAATCTGGGTTCTCTGTAACAGCAGCCAGTGCTCTTAAGTGCTGGGTCATCTCTCTAGACCCAAGCCATAGGTTAGTTACATAAAAATCCTTCAGTTGTAAGGTATCTTACTATGCGTTGTTGGTCAGGAAGCTACCTATACCTCCACAAAGCAATACATTTCCCACTAGGCTGGAAACGATCTTCCTATTGGTTAGGCTCATCATGCCAGAGAGGCTACTGGGGGAGAATTGTCATCAACCGTCTTACTCATCTGTCGAGTAGTGTATAATACTCACTAGGCAGGATGAGCCTACTGGTGCAATAATGTCAAATCTGTTATAGGAATAACCAACTACTTCCTGATTGGATTTGATGTGCTTTCCACAGGAAGGAATTCAAGTGCAGTACCATAAACTCAAAACAAAACAAAAACAAACAAACAGCCAGGCGTTGGTGGCGCACGCCTTTAATCCCAGCACTCGGGAGGCAGAGGCAGGCAGATCTCTGTGAGTTCGAGACCAGCCTGATCTACAGAGTGAGTTCCAGGACAGCCTCCAAAACAATACAGAGAAACCCTGTCTTGAAAAACCAAAAACCAAACAAAAACAAAAAAAAACCAACCAAACCCCCCAAAACCAGTGTCTGATGAGGTCATAGGCCCTATTGGGGAAGCTTCTGAGTTCTTTTTTTTTTTTAATGTGTATGATGTGCCTGTTAAATTGCCTTCTAAATAATTTTTTCTTCGTATGCTAAACCTTCTGTGAGTTTTGATCAGAGAAGCTTCTTTTTGCAGTGGCCAGAGGTTAGTATAAATGTGTATCTGATCAAGTATGGAGAATGAAATGACTGTTGAATGCCATCTATAAATGGTAAATCTATACCTCACTCCCATGGATCAGTGCATCACAAAAGGAGCAGAAGAAATCTATATACCAAGGACTTGTGATAGTAGTTTGGGAAACTGATCTCCTGGCATGAATGCCTGTTGCACTCTTAAACTCTTAAACTCATAGCACGCGATTACTTTCACAAGCTTGTTGTACAAGTCTGGTTAACGAAAATGTTCTCTAAATGCATCTAGTAAGTATCTCACTTTCTCATGCGGTGGGGCAATATAGGGGTGCTCTCTCCTAGCCTAAAGGTCTGGAATAGACGATCTCTGCCAGCTTCCAAAGAATCACTGGTCACATTTTATCGTTATTTTTCTCCAAAGATAGTGAAAATAATACATATTTTATTAAATCTATCACCTGATTTAGAGTCTGGAGGCAGCAATACTTTATGAAGGTTTTTTTTTTTTTGGTTTTACGAGACAGGGTTTCTCTGTATTGTTTTCGAGGCTGTCGGTCCAGCCCGGCCTCAAACTCACAGCGATCCGCCTGCCTCTGCCTCCCGAGTGCTGGGATTAAAGGCGTGTGCCACCATTGCCCGGCAAAGGTTTTGTTTCTAATGACTTGATGCTAATACAGTTTTCAAAAATTTCCATGGAGCACATATGAATTCATCAGCTCTCTAGGTACTTTGTGGTGGTAATGTTGAAAGATTCTTGGTTATTCCTCATCTATTCATATCTTTGCATAATTCCCTAGCTCTAACAACCTGGGCATTCTGTTTATTTTAGTGGACTATAGCTTTCTCCATATAATGTTAAAAGCCTGTCTTTTTATGTTTACAAAAGACACTAGGGCTTCACTAGTTCTAGAAGCTGGCCCTTGGGAAGAGGCATCCTGTGTTTGGAGCTAGGGTCAGTGGGAATGCCATTTCCTCATCTGAGGTACCATTGCCGGTCCTGATGCTTCACTGTGGTTGTCTTCAGACTTGGGAGCTTGAGCATCTCTCCAGGAGTCTTAGAAAACACAGGCGTTTACAAATGAGACCAGAGACCCACGGTCAGTACAGGAAACCTCAGGGACAATAGCAATGGGAAAGCTGTTTCAACATATACACCAGTTTCAGATTTCCCTTCTGAAGAATTACTTTGACAGATTTTTACTTATTGAAATCAAGCAGACAAATTAGAGAAAAGTCAATGTTTTTCCAGTGTATTCTATGTTCCTTAAGACATTGTATTAAAACATTAGACTATCTTTTGAGTGGCATTTCTCACAGGACAAATTATGTTTACACTTTAGCTATGTGGTTGAAAAAAATGCCAGAATATTAGTCTCTTGTGCAGACTCCAGGCTTGGCCCTCTGTGTACACATTCTACGCAGAGCTATGCTGACCACTCCAAGCCCTCATGATTGTAGAAAACAATTTCATCCTTCTAAATCTAGTTCAAGTAGAAATATTCTTCAGGGGCATCAGAAACCTGAAGCTCTAAGAAGTGATTAGGCAAAGCATAAATTGCGGCACTTGGCTACAAGCATCACTCTATTTATTCTGTCTGTACGTCCACCAATGGCTGGCACGGGCAGGTGTGTTGCTAATCCACCGCACTCCCCGGTGATTGTGAACCAGGCAGAAGAAAGCAGGCACACATGTCTATCTGCCTTCTCATGCTTTAATTCCACACCCGTGTTCCATCTCTCCCCAGTCCTTTCCAGATGGCCAGACACGCGAGGTTCGCACTCCAGGGGACCTTCAACAGGTAAAAGACCCTTGGGCTACACCAGGAGATACTACTTTTTAGTTCACAGTTACAAGAAAACGAACACATATATTAAAAAACCCAAATAACCACAGACACATAAAAATCCATTTACTTCTGGTGAATTCTCAGGGTCCAAAGTACTAGGGTTCATAATGTTCCCTGACATGAGAGAACGGAGGCAGGGGTACCAAGGACCGGGTGTCAGAACAGTCCTATTGGTCTGTGGCAACAGCTGTTTCATACCTTCCAAAGTGGGTTAATATCTTCTCTTCTTTCCCTTATGAATGAAGTGACCCCGTCAACTGTGATTCCGCACTGGTTACAGTGCCTTTCTATGCTGACTGCTTCAGACTCCCTCGCACAACCCAGATGAACTAGGCTTAGCCATTGTGTGGGAATGTAATGGATTTCCCCATTACTTAATTATGCTGCAGTAAACTCTTCAGCACTCCAGTACTACGTCTTTCTTGCAGCAGCCATGTGAGGGACAAAACTGAGAGTAGCTGAACAGCAGAGGAGCTAAAGACAGGAGTATTTAGACAGGGGTCGGTGCACCCCACAAGGCTTTTGCAGCAGTGTATGGCACTTGGTGTTACTCTGACAATGGTGAAGGGAGCGGCTTCCAAAACTCTTGTGAAGCAGCCTCAAGGATTTGTCTTTTAACACTCTCCCCCTCGTCTCCAGCATAAAGGAAAGTGTACCGTGAAGAGGTGAGTTAGTGAGGAACCTGTAGCTAGCCCAGCAGTGTGTGGCAAATCTCTCAGGACACAGACCTCCCTCCTGTCCTGAGTATAGGGCTGTGTGCTTTACGGTTTGAGCCCAGTTAAGGACACAGCCCTTTAGGTTAGTCCCTTATGAGACCTAATCCTTGACCACATTGAAGTTGAGGCTGGAAAGTAGTCTTCAGGATATAGAACAGCCTAGGTTTCTGAAAATAGAATAAGTAAAATTTCTTAAAGTCCCAAATCTCCTACTTCATACCCATGAGGTAGAGGCAGGAGTATGCCAGTGAAAAAGCCTCAACTGAGAAAAGTCGAGAAATTCTGGAGAGGGCTTTTGTTTGGTTCTTGGAAGAGGTGACATAAGGTATGGGCAGGTCAAAGAGATGCCTCAGAAAAGGTCTTCTAAGGTTGACCACAGAGCCCATCCCCTCCCAATTTTGAGGGCTGAATAAATGTCTCCACACATGGCACATAGCTAGGTCTTTCTTGTGTGTGTTCTCTGGTGCCTGATTAAATGATACCCTCTGCTGAAGCTTTTCCCACAGGTAGTACAGGTAAAAGGCTTTTCTCCAGTGTGTGTTCGTTGATGTCTGACGAGGTGATCCCTTCTGCTAAAGCTTTTACCACATTCATCGCATCGGCAGTTCCTCACTGAAGAATGGCTTTTCAGGTGCTTGGCGAATGCGGCACTGTGGTCGAAGGAGCGTCCACACTTACTGCAGAGATAGAGCTCCTCACTCCCGTGTGTCTTTCGGTGTGTCAGATACTGATTGTGGTCACTGAAATCCTCTCCACAGTCCCCACAGGAGTAGGGCTTACCTGTAACATGGATTCTTTGGTGTGTTGTTAACACAGATTTCTGACTGAAGTTTTTGCCACAAACAGTACAGAAAAATGGTTTTTCTCCTGTATGTGTCCTCTGGTGCCTGACCAGGTCTGAAGTCCAACGGAAATGTTTTCCGCAATCATCACAGCTATGCGGTTTCTCCACACGGGCATTTCCCTCAGACTGGGTCAGAGGGCCATCTGCATTCTTCCTGTTTGGAGGATGTTTATGAGGAGGGTTCATCTTATGGACTTTCTGGTGCCTGGCAAGATGTGAGCTCCGTGTATAACTTTTCCCACACTCCATACATTTATAGGGCTTTTCTCCTGTGTGAGTTCTCAAGTGCCTAGTAAGATGAGAATTACATGTAAAGCTTTTTCCACACAGCGTGCAGTGATGTTGCCTCACTACCGGGGAGTGGCCAGGAATAGTTTCCCTACTATTTGTGGAACTATTCACTTGGGAAATATTTGTACCAAATCTTCTTTCATTAAGTCTACTTGTATTATCCTCAAAGACTATTTCCCAATCTGGAGTCTGATGAACTTCTACGTCTGCCAAAACAGATCTGTGGGTATCTTCTCGCTCAGCGCATTCTTCCTCATCTTCGCCCAAGTCTCCTAGAGAAGAGGCAAGAACAGAAAGGAGAAGCTTTAGTAACCATAATACCTTTTATAACATGAGAAGATTTTTAACTGCTTTTCTAACAAATAACAGGAAGAAAAGATTAATGGTGGAAGGGTCTGGCTTCCAGAAAAAGACATTAATGATGGATGACATATTAGAAGAATCAGCAAGTGGGTATGGGGTATGGTCACTGCAGTGGATGAGGCAGGATTGTGAGTTCAATTCCTGGGCTACAAAGTGAAACCATAACAAAAAGTAAAAGACAAAATAATGAAAGAGAAGTAATGAGAAATGTCCTAGGAGGAAAGAGGCACACAGACTAGAGGGAATTGTCCAGTGTGGTGGTCAGATCTGTCTGCTGCTCCTCACCTGTATAGGTAAAACTCAGGATTTCTGGTTCTGCAGGCTCTTGAGATTCGTGGACATCTGGGACCTGAGGCTCTCCTTCGCTAATCTGGGAGGTATCATCTAGCCTGGGAATTGGAAATGCTGCTCAAGAGATGGAAAAAAGGATATCACGATTGGTTCATACTTAAGAGCAGATCTTTATGGACTGGTAGGTGGCAGAGCAAGCACGTATGCTAACTGGTCAGATATCACTAGTCTTTAGCTTGGCGCCTCTAAGTGCGGCCCATCTCGTACACTTCTTGTGCCTGCACCTGAGTCTCAGTAACTAGACTACTTCTGTGAGCCTTGCTCCTTCCCTCTTGTCGAGGAAAGCAGATTATCTTTGTTTTGACTGCTTCAAGACTCCTATGTTTACTTCAAAAGTTAAACATTAAAAGCTCAAAAAACTATAACTGTATTCTCCCATTTATGTTTTCCATTCATTTTTTTCCAAGCATCTTTATTTCTTTCTTTCAGTTGGAAGGATATCATCTTCTTCAGCTAACTGGTCTTTAATCTCATTGTGGGGTAGGCATGCATAAGTGAAAGTTTAGTTCATGGAGTCCAAGGTCTTTGATTCCCTAAACTCCGATAGGAAAAAGATGTTTGTGGCTAGAATATCCTGGAAATACATGCAACTCCTTACACAGAGAGACCACAATTCCACAATCTTCTTCCAAGACATATTCTCCATAGAATTCTTTTTGTGTTGGATCCAGATCACTCCACTGATCCTGTGAGAAGCACACAGCCACATCCTTGAATGTGACTAGTCCCTGAAATGATACAAGGATCCAATCAGGATGTGATGCTTCAGGTAACGTATTGCATTTTGGGATAGAGTCCACCCAAAGACAAAGGGTACGCTAACAGGCAGAAGGGTTTCCCACTGCTGCTGCTTCTGAGTCTTCCGCACTTGAGGAAAGCACTGACCTTGCTTCTGCTCTTCCAAGCAACTGTGTTTCCTCAGATCAGACTACATTCCTCCTTAGGGTATTGTTTAAAACCCAAGACAGATCTAAAATCATTCAACTCCCTATTTGGTGTTTTAATGGGAGGTCTCTGTGAAAATCATTTTTTTCTAGGATTCTTTTCCAAATGACACCGACTATCATCATGTATAGTCAGAACATGGAAGACATGAGTGAATTCTATCCCCTTTCCTCAGCCATGTAATTTCAGATCAAGAAAGGATCTGAAGCTATCTAGAGGGATAGTTCACAAATATCACAGCAGTCATCTGAGCCATTCTTACAAATGATAAAACCTACCTAATGTAAAAATTGTACTGAATACTGCAAAAATAACCCCACTTAGTACCTTTAGTTAGTACTTCTGGCAAATAAAGAGACTATGAAGACTGGAGTTGAAAACCATTATTTAATTTTACAGTTTCTTCCCCCTATCCTGGTACTCACAGAACTGAAGTCTAAGTGTGCATATTTGTATCCCCAATTTGTTCACTATACGGCTAACACCCAACAAATCTTCAAGTATGTATTTTGAACTAGGATTTACCTGAGAGAGAGCAGTGAGAAGAGCTATCATCTCTGGGTCTCTAGACCCTTGTTCTGCAGGAAGGTCTGGGTCCTGGGGCACTGGAACCTCTAACAGGGAAAAGAAGGAGACAGCGATCAGTAGCATGAAGTGCAAGAGGTTGAGTGTCCTCTACTATACTGAACAAAAAGTGGCCAAGATACTGATCTAATGTGAATTATCCTATCCACCACCACTCACAACCCCATTGGAATGCTGGGAGCACTCAAGAATACCACTATTTAAACTTGGTGCCACATTGAGGCAGCTTCTAGTTGGTTCTTTCTGTTCTCAACATTAAGATTTTTGTGTTTTCTTTCCTTTACAGTTTTCCAGCCTGTGTGGTATAGGAGAACCCCCTATTTCCATTTCACTTTGCCCAAATCTCTGCTTCCTGCTGAGACTCCTTCCTACCACTTTCCTGTAGAGGCTGGTGCTCCCCTTCATGCTGCAAGCTCTCCTGTTCCGGTGTCCCCAGATCTGTGCTCTGGAGGGCTTCCTCATGGGGCTGCTCATGGGTCAAGGTCTGTGTTGGATCTGGTTGTTCACTGAAGGATTCCGGCTCCACCCCTAGGTGTAGTGTCTCCTCTGACAGAACTTCCTGGCCCTGAACATGGACGGTTACCTGGGAATAATTTTAACTTCCAGTCACCATGGCGTCAGGAGGAAATTCCTGGTTGTCTGTTATCAGGGGTTGTTTTAGGAGGAACACTCCCAGAGGGAACCAGATGAGGAAAGGAAACTCAAATTGCACAGGTATGGGAAGAACCAGTTATCTTTGCAAAGACAAGACAGAGGATACACTAGTACTATTCGACTTTTCTACTCTTAAACTTCAATTCAGTCATCTCAGGCCCTGAGGTTTCCATCCCTCCTTGTTTCAGGTCTTCTACTGTTTGCTCCCCCATATTACTATCTGAGGAAGGGGGTTCTGGGATTAAGAGTCTAGATCAACTTCGAGGAAGTCTAATAGTTGTTTTCTAGAACCCCAAGGTTCCCCCTACAATGAAATTAAAAACCTAACCTTCAGGTGGCACAGGCAGGTGATTCAAACTCTAGAAAGTCACACTCATACACACAGACATCCCTGGCCTTTTGGGGCTCATGGATCTAGACATAACCCAAAGACAGAACCAGTAAAAATCAGAAGATAATTTTCAGGGTCCTTACACTCTCCCTATATCCAATCTTTCAGGAAACAGGCCCCCTCCACATCACACAGATCAGGACTCCCCCTCCTCACCCACCGCCTTGGTCTCCTGGGTTGTTTCTGCAAACCCTCCACCAGTGTCACTGCCTCCTCGCCACTCTCTGGTCGCTGGCCTCGCACCCAGCTCTGCAGTTCTCCAGGCAGGACAGTGAGGAACTGCTCCAGCACGAGCAGCTCGAGGATCTGCTCTTTTGTTCTCCTCTCTGGCCTCAGCCACTGATGACAAAGCTCTCGAAGTCTGATGAGAGCTTCTCGAGGGCTAGATGCTTCCTGGTAGCGAAAGCACCGGAAGTTCTGGTGAGAGGTCTCCAGCACAGGATCATCTCCCTGTAAGGCAGACTCTGGTCCACAGGTGAAATCATCCTCCAGTTTCACCATCATGACTCCTTCTTCCTCCCAAAGATCTTGGTCCTCTGGTTCCAAGGCTGTGGCCATTTCCTGGCTATTGGGTGCTATTACACCATTTAAGCCTCACACTGGCATTAACACATTTCAGACTGGGTACCTCACGGGGTTCCTCCCAAGGGACCTAGGATAGAGAAGTAAAGATGAAAGAGAATGGATGCCTGTAGCTATGCAGAGACAAGAGTTCTGGCTCTGCAATCCTCTGCACACTTCTTAAATAATTGCCCCCCCAGTCTCCATTACTGTAGTTGTAATGAAATCCACTTGGGATAGGATATCCATAGCCTAGGAAGGTCCTCTACCCTCACTTCCTAGGCAAGGCTCCTATTCTGGAACAAAACAGTACATGACTATATCCTTATGTCTTTCTCCCATTTCTTTCCTGCTGACTTATTTTGTCTGGCGCAATCATTTACTGTTTAGACTATAGACAGCACATTTTGAGCCCCCCCCCAATGTTGTGGAGTAATAGTTTAACGATGCAAAGATGTGTTACATTTCTTTATGCTGCAGAATATTACTCTAGCTGTGTAAAGGTGTATTACTTGCATGTGTTTAATGATGTAAGGATGTGTATTTAATTATGGAAAGATGTGTTGCATCTGTTTCACCCTGCCTGCCTAAGGTACCTGAATGATCTAATAAAAAGTGAAACAGCGAACAGCTAGGCAGGAAAAAGGATAGGTGGAGCTGGCAGGGAGAGAGAATAAATAGGAGAAATCTAGGCTTGAGAGGAAAGAAGAAAAGAGGAGACAGACATGGCCAGAGCAAGAAGCCAGGCAGCTGTTAGCCAGCAGACATGGAAGTAAGATACATAGAAAGAAGGTAAAAAGGTAAGATAACAGGCAAAAGGTAGATAAAGAGAAACAGGTTAAGTTAAAAGAGCTAGCCAGAAACGAGCCTAAGCTAGGCTGAACAATCAAAACTAACAGTAAATTTCTGTGTCACAATTTGGGAGCTGGTTGGTGGCCTTAAAGAAAAAGCCTGGTATACCTCATAGTACTTAATCTCTGGGAGACAGATGCCCATGTCTACTAACAAATGCCCCAGTGGCCATGGTTTGTTTCACATAACATATACATCCTGAGACATCAACAAGGTGGGTGCAGGTTATGCAAGGCGGCATCACACATACTATTAACCTCTGTAAATGGGAACTCTTGGAGATTTAAGAACTCCAAGAAACATCAGTGAGGAAAAACACTGCTATGAGTAACACTCCAAAAGCCTGCCTTTATCTTGCTAAAACACCTTTAACTGAATGACTTACTGATCCTCAAGTTCACAAAAGACATTCATTTATTGCTTGCAAACTTACCTTCTTCCAGCCCTGGCAGGGACCAACTGTTAAAAAAAAAACCCGTAATTTAGTAATCCTTGGACTCAATGATTCTTCCTCATTGTTTTTACTAAACCAACCCTATCTCTTACACTTCTAAATGTTTACTCCTCTTCCTCCCTGCTACTTGAGTGTGGCCCTCACCACCCCGCCTGAACTATAGCCACGATTTTCTATGTGCTCCCTGGAGTACTCAACCATGAGTAAAATATAGTAAATCAGCTGTGGAGTTTTTTCTGTGCATTATTGTCCCAAAGACATTCTGGTTCAGTATATCTAGACAGTTACATCTTTAGAAATGCTACTTGTCAATCAATTGAGAGCCCTCGTTGGGTAATGTCAAGGGAAGTAAGGGAAGATAAGAGTGCCTAAATTCTATCATTTAGTATGTATGGAGAGGAGTGTGCAACCCAATGGGAGGTTTTCTTTGTAAATGACTTTTCTCATCAACAGAATGGAAATGGTAATATTTTCTATTAGTGTACATTTGAGATTAGATGTCTCACTGTTTGCTATGTTCAGAAGGAGATGGAACTTCAATGTTAACTATTAACTTTCTAAAGTATACTTCCAATGACATTACTCCATTTTGTAGGGAGTAGGCTTTACAACGTTAGTAAGACCATCTCAAATGCTGTTAGGACATGCAGTACTCTACAGTCTATCTAACCCATTCTCTTCTACCATTTGCTATAGTGACGCACTGAGGGTCAACAGCATGGCTTTTTAGGCTTCCCTATTGCACACACTCTCCACTCTGTCCTCTTTTCACTGCTACAGGGTGTGGGCCATTTCTTAGCAGCTTTTCCTTTCTCACTTCCTTCCTTTAGTGACATTCTAACCAGTTCTCAATTTGATAACCACAACTGCCTCTGGAGTTACTATCTAAGTTACCTTTCTTCATCGGGTATGTGACCTGTGGGTCACACTTTTCTCAGGATAGGTATGAATATAGTCAACACATTTGTAGATGACATTATTTTACACAATAAAACGTTTGGACACTGATCTTCAGTGTTACCAGTGTTAGTAGTTACAATGAATCTGGACATGTTCTTCTTCTAGTGAAGATCCTCCACCCATTCCTGCTTTTTTCTTATGTGAGTAAACTTCTTTAAGCATATTACTCTCTAGCTGGCCTTAATCTTGTTATTCCCTTTGCTATCCTTTACAGTCAACCCCTCCCCCATTCCTGAACTGGGTACACACAGTGTTTACTCATGCACTTTAGCCTTTGGATACAGGTTGTTAAAACTCCTTCCCCGGGGAAACGTAAGCAATAGCTACCTCTTGTTCTATGTTCCTAACAACAAATGGAGGCATGGTTCCACCAAACCTCATTCTGGGGAATGAAAGTGTTTATTAGGCATCCTTAAGGAGAATAGGTGAAGGATTACTTACAGGGGTGTGGTCATTCCTCCCCCAGAGAGACACATGTGGAAAGCTTTACCCAGCAGGGATGCAAGGCTTCCCTAATTGCTGCATAGATGAAGGCCCTGATCTAGTCTTCTCTAGTGTGTTTGTATTTTGGCCCCTCCCCCAGGGAATGTGCAGAGTTGCCAGATGGTAGGGAGCAGTTGGATGGGTAGGGGAGAACTGGACCCTTTACAGGGGGGCACAGGTGAATGCTCCAAGATGGCAGTTGGTTGGTTTAGAGGAAAGTCACTCACTGCTCTTCCTACCCATCACCTTTAGTTAGGCTAAACTTTACTTCTCTTTTAAGACATAGCTTAGGTTTCAGGTCTTCTGAGATGTTTCTTTGAATCCTATTCTCTTTACCATTATACATCGTTAGAAATCACAAGGTCAAGAGCAACCTGGGTTCATCTCTGTCATTACCTAGTCTTACATAGTCACTATTTGGTTTCCTTGTGAAATTTCTTGATGTTAGGAACTGTGAATTTTAGTCTCTAAAGTCTATTACAAAGAACACAATAAATGCAATTAAAATGAATGAATCTCCACTCCTTTTCCTACCTTAGTAGCCAACGCCAAACTTTTATATTTTTGGTTGTGAACCTAGCCTTTAACAGCTGAGTCATCACTCCAGTCCAGCCAACACCAATCTTTACATATCTACATTCATACTTTCCTAGTTCATTAAGGCTTGTTAATTCTAACAAAATGTCTTTCAAATTCATCATGTCTTCATCTGCGTAAATTCTCTAGTTGAGCATGACAACCTACCATATTTGAGTGACTAGTCTCAACCCTGGAAATGCACTGGCCTGTGTCAGGTACTGTGTGCTGACTGAACCACTTGGAATTTGGGTTTTACAACTTTACATATAGGCTCTGTCCTCCTCCAGACAAGAATGCTATCCATCTCAGGGACTCCTTATGTGTCAATCATTTTGTTCTGTTCTTCAGGTGCCTGCAACCAACCCTCAAGGTTATCACTTGCCTCTCACTAGCTGTTCCTTAACTGCTGTTGCACTTTCTATGTCTCATGGCCAGTGATCACAAGGTCCCCAGATTTCTCATAACCCAAGTTACTTCATTATATTGTCCTCAACCATTTGCCATACAGCTTCCATGTTTTTGATAGTTCTGTAATTCTTTTTAAAAACCACGTGGGAATGCGGTCATGCCATGGTGTACATGTGGTGGTCAGAGGGTAACTTGCAGAAGGTGATTCTCTGTCTACCAAGTGGATTCCATGGATCAGGTCTTTAAGCGTGGCAGCAAGTGCTTTTACCCATTAAACCACTTTGTCTAGTTCTAGCATTCCTATGCCATCTTGTGCTAAGTCTCTCTACTTCTGGATAGTTTGCATTTGTGTTTACTTTATGCTCATCTTTAGTGAAGTTGTAATTTTTAGGTAGAATTAAAAATGGGCAGAATTTCATTTGTTTCTAGCTCATCATTAGTGGTTTCAATAATCTTCAATTGGTTTTAACATTAACTTTTCAGGGTATTCCTGAAAAATAGTTTTAGTATGTTATTTGAATCTCAAGTGATTTTTAAAAAAGGTTTATTTTTGTTTAACGTGTGTCTAGGTGCCCACGGAGGCCAAAAGAGGTTGGATTCCCTGGAGCTGGAGTTACAGTTGATTGTGAGCTGCCTGACATGGCTGCTGGGAACAGAACTTCAGTCTGTGAGAGCAGCAAGTGCTGCTAACAAACCCTGGCCAGAATCTCTCCAGTCCTCCCAGAGAGTTCTGTCTCACCAGAGAATCTCTCTGATACTCAAAGTTCTTCAAGGCCTGGCTTCTGGGAACCTCCTTTCTTCCACGAGAGCCACGGTTCAAATTACTATTTTTGTATCTTCTGTTTCTCTTTCATGAGATTTTCTAAGATTCTCCCTGAAATACCATTACTAAGCCTTCACTTGCCCAACTCCACTCTTCTTCCCAATCTATTTTCAGAGTTCTCCTCTTAACTGACCCCCTCCCAGGTGATGAATAATAAAAACTGTGGTCTGTCCATTTCACAGTATGCACTGTGTTGTAAAAATTGTTCCTCTGGTGGCAGGATAACCCATGAAACTAAATAGGGTTTGAAAGAAAGGGCATGTGGTACCCTGCTCAAAGTCTGGCAAACAGCACGTACTTGCTTCATAATTGATGAGGGCATATAACATTTCCTGAGTTTCTGTCTCTGGGAAGGATAGCTCCCATGTCATATTAATTATTATTTAGTCATCTGTCCAGCAAAATGTCTGTTGGGTAAGTGAATACAGACAAATTTATTGTTTTCTCAATAGTGAGTAAACAGGACATTGTCAGTGGTTTTCAGTGTGATAGAGTAATCTTCAGGTCACTTTGGGGATAACAGAAATGCACA